AGCTGAGATGGCGTATATTGGATGAGAACTAAAAGATTACAGAATAGACTGAGAAATGAAAGGAAAGATGCATTCACTTAAAGCTAATGGCATAGGATGTTTATTTATTTACACATATAACACAATATTTTAGTAATATTGGGAACCTTTTAATTATGCCTGTAAATATTAAGCTTGAGAGCACCTATATCGGGTGCTGAAATGGAATCGTTTTTTAACTTTTATCGAATCGTATTTTAAAAGGCTATGCTTCAGCTACTATCTAAGTATTTTAATTAAATAAGACAAGCTCCAATTTACAACAGCCATAAATTCAAATACATTCCCTTCTCCTTACTCTTGCAGGTAAGCACGCGAAAACTTTTTAATATTTCACAATCAACTGGCGCCTAAAAGCGTGCTCTGTAAGTACTTATTTCGCGCATGAAACCGAAAGCCTCGTGCGGATATTAAATATGAACTTTCGACAAAGATTTTACGTACGCTTTAAGCGTGAAAGTTTTTGTGTTTTAACATAAAACGCAATGCCATAAATCAACCTAATGAACTGAAGGCAGAGCAAGCCACACTCACGGGGCATACTTGAGAGAGCGACATTTAAGAGCTCTGATGCCATTGGCATTAAAAATTGATAAATAGGCGCACAGGCGCTACGTTCCACGACAATCCAAAGTGAGAGTGCACTGAATAAATAATAATAAAATGTTGAGCACTAATTTGGACATCGCATCGAATAGCAGTAAAAAACGCTGATAAATATATGTATGTATTGTGAATTGAATTCTGCGAAATGATTTGCTCATTTCACGCGCATCCGCGAGTGAAATGCGCTTCATAAAATATACAAGTGGTTCCAGAAATAAAGAATGAAACAGATGAGCGAAATGGGGGAAAAAGAAAAGCTGGCATCAAAATGGCGACGTTTTCTCTTGTTGCATTTGCCGTCTGCTGCCTTATCCTATTATCGTTGTGCCATTATTTATTACTTATTTATATCTCTCTGCTCTCTTTCTCACTCTCTCTCTTTCGCTCTTGCTGTGCATATCTCTCGGTCTCTTTTTGGTTCCGACTATGTTTTATGTACGCAAAACGGCGCAATTCCGGCCAATGTTCATTTCGCTGACTTGGCAAACTGCAAATTACAGGCAACTTTTGTTTTAATTCCAGTTCCTGCCACGCCGTCAACTAACCCGCTTTGCCTGCCTATTTGCACTGGCCGCAATGCCCATCCTGTTCATATTTTGCAGTTAAGCAATTAAGCACAATTTTATAAGAATTTCTGTCAGCCAACTAAAGACTGTCGCCTGCATTAGCTGTTGTATCAGGAATAAATATTTAAATAAAATACATATATTTATATTTCACAATAATTATTTATGATCTACATCATTTGTGTTGGTATAAAAATGTAATTAAAAGTTTTCCAGCTGTTTGATGTTTAGCAAGAAATTTGCAATCCTGACAACTCTTAACGTTGCGTATACGCCACGTGTCGCGCAAACATCAAAGCGACTTTTTTTTTTGCGTAGCTCAGGCTTAACAGCGACAATTTTCCGCGTATTTTGATGTTTTTCGAGTTAACATAAATTGAGTTGAGTAACCAAAAACTGCCTCTACTCGGATTGCCTCGCTGCCAAGTGACAAGTGGAAGGGCGAAGAGCGTGCCAAGCACTTTATTATTTATTGCCATAATCATGTTAATGGCAGCACTGGCAACGGCAAGAAAAACGATACGATAATCATATTGGTTAACATTTTAACTTAATCAACACGCGAAACGCAAAGGCAGCAACGAAATGAAGATAACAACGAGAACATAAACAACAAGAAACATTTTGACATTCGCTTTTAATGTGTGAAGAGGAGCATAAAGATAAAGCACCAAGGATGTGAATCAGATATCTTTTTATACTCTGTTTAAAGGGTGACAATGAGTATATTGGTGGAAGTTAGCTCAAAGCTTGTCCTAAATGTGATTCATGTTACATTAAGAGATGAGATTAAGTTCAATAAGATTTAATGCGAACTCGACTTGCTATATTTATATACTTATATATATATATAAAATAAATATATTTTTTTTGACATCTGCGTTTTCTGTACTTTCATTTTTATAATTTATTTACCGCTTTTGAGTTTTCGCATTTTCATTTATTTTATTTTTTATTCTGCCTCAACTTTTGTCTGTTCCCATTTTGTTTATCATGCTTGCCTTCTGTGACGTTTCAGCCATCTTCCTTTTTTGGCTCTGCCTTGAGTCTTGTGTTTGCATCACATTAACCGATAAGAAATGTGTTTTACAGATGTGCCACAGCCACAAGCTGGAATATCTGCTCCTGTGGCTCCTGAAAAGGGCGTGTCTGATTTGGCTAAGAACCAGAATTTGCAGTGTAAGATAAGCACTTAGGAATTAGCTTCTTTAAGGCGAAACCTGCTGTGGAGGCACTGTGACCTACAAAAGTATTTGAATGCTGAATGAGCGTCTTTTTTATGTAAACCTCTTTTTTAGACTCTTACATATGAAATGGGTTGGCATTGAATATGATGTCTTATTTAGTTTCCGTAATGTAATTTTAATAGTTTATTTAAAGCATAAAATTACATTGTCAAGTTTCCAGAAATTTAACATTAACTGGAACTAATTACTGGAAATTAAAGCAGAAATTGTGGAATTAGTGGTATTAGTGGAAGATCAAATTGGTATTAATAATATTAGCTGAGATTATTGTAGTAAAACTAATTAATATTAGAATTAGTAGTAGTATTAATATTAGCATTAGAGCTAGTGGTTGCAGTAATAGTAGTAGAAAAAGTAGTAGAATTTGTGAATGAAATTATAGTTGTAGTATTTGAAATAATAACAATGGAGTTAATGGTTGTAATAATGGAAAATTGATTACTATAAAAAAAGTAGAATTAAGAGTAGTAATAGTAGCAGTAATAGTAGCAGTAATAGTAGTAGAACAAGTAGTAGAAAATGTGAAAGAAGCAAAGTTTTGCTACTAGTAGTAGCAGTAAAAGAGAAGCTGTAATTACGGCAAAATTGACTACTTTAATGGTAGTAGAATTAAATGTATTAGTAGTGGTAACTAAAATAAATAATAAATAAATAATAATAAATAATAAATAAATAATAAATAAATTGACTTTCTAATTGTACTAGAACTAGTAGTGCTAGCAGCAATAGTAATAGAACTAGTAGCAGCAATAACAGTAATAGAATTAGTAGTGATCATAACAATAGTAATAAAATTCATGTTAGTAGAAGAATAAGCATGTCATAAATAGTAGTAAAACTCGAAGTATCAGTGTTACCAGCACTAGTAGTAGAATTAGTAGTGAGAATTTTAATATTTAAAGTGGGACAAGCTTTCACAATTAGATGGGCTCAAAGGCCTCGTTGGATATCGATCATTGTAAGATTTGATTTACTCAGAATCATTATCTCTTCTCTCTTCTAGCTATCTTTCTATCTAACTATCTATCTGTATGTCTATGTTAGAATTATTGAGCATTGCCTACTAAAATCTTCTACAGATTGAAAGACTTCCGCACTTCCGCTTATGATTTCAATCGAATGACTTCTTGTTCATTGTAAAAGAGCAATAGATTTATTTGCAATTTAGTAGAGTACATAAATCTATTTTGTACTTAACGCAATTAGAAACACATAAATTTCGCACAAAACTCAGCCACACACACATACACACTATACTAGCACCTACACACACATACCCACACAATACTCACCTACACACACACACCTCCGGATGGTGCAAAGTGCCCTTCCTGTGTGTTTTACAGTTGTAAATGCAAGCGAAGCTTTGTTGGACATAAAACATTTTCATTTAATTGAAACAAATGCGTGCTGCGTATCAATTTAAGTAAACGGACAACAACAACAGCAACAATGACTACTACAACTACATACATAGTATGTACAACTATTGTAAATGCTGTGTAGTAAAGAGCAATAAAAACTAACGACTACAATAAGATGCGACTATGCCACAGATTGTTGCCATCATCAACGGGGCAGGCGACAGGCAACCCCAAACGACAAACGAATGAAACATGAGCAGCTATGTGGGTGTGTGCGTGTGTGTGTGTAGGTAGCACCTACATGTATAGTGTGTACACTTAATAACATTACGACGTGTGTGTGTCTCATAGAGGATGCTGCAGATAGAAAGTCGGAGAGCGAGCGAGAGAGATGGAGATAGAGAAAGAGCAGTCGTTGTCAGGCGGCACACAACTACAACAACAACAGCAAGAGCAGCAGCACAGCAGCAACGGCAGCAGCAGCGGCAGCAGCACTAACACTAGCAATAATATGAGCGAACCGTCAACTGTCGCCAATTGAATGGCCGTCAATGGGAGACCCACAAAAAAAAGAGGACAGTTCTTGTGCCCCCGTCAAGCGCTATCAAAATCTATGTAAATTACACACAATCATCATAATGTGCTAGTGTGCGTACGTGTTCCATACGTGTGTGTGGATGTGTTAGTGTATGTGGCATGAGTTGACACCAAACACGAACAGTTTATGGTCTGAGCAACACACCATATCACATAATATATACAGTTATATGGCAACCATAGAAAATTGTATGAATGGATAGTATGCAGGTGCACCTGTACTTAGGCCAAGCAAAGATAAAGAGAAATAGTGTTAGCCATAGAAACAGGCAAGCAAGCAGAAGGGTGGGGATAGAGATGATCTAGTTGAGCAGGAAATTAAGCGATTCATATATTGTATATATTGTATATATATATTAATATTAATATATTTATAGTCTTAAAATTCGATGCTTAAAGATCAGAATTTAATTGAATTATTTTTAAGGTATTTCACCAAGCGACTCACAATTCATACGAAAGGCCATTTACTTTGCTCATTGTCTACAGCAATAAGAAGCTTACAGTTGAGCTGACTCAACGATTATAGCTTGAAGAACAAACACAACTAATATATGATGGAAATGCTAGTTTAATGCTCTTCAGTTTTGATAACCACTCGAGAAATGTTCATATTGCGGCTGATTATTCCCATTGATATTGCTGTTGCTCTGGGTATACCAAAGGCTTTGTGGCGGCTGTGCTGTATTGGCCACACTGCCAGGTGATGCGCGTGTGCTGTCCCTGCCGCGTGGTCCTGTTGCACCTGTGAAGCCGCGAGGCCCGGCTGGACCTGGCGGACCTGGCGGACCTGGTGGACCCGGGGGTCCAGGTGGCCCGGGCACTGGAATTGGAATGTATGCGGTTTGCTGTGCCTCCTCCTTCGGTTCAGTTGGTAGGCCGGTCTGTGGGCTGGGCATCAGATTGAATCCTGGGAAGCTCAGACCTGCTTGGCTCTGCAGATTGAAGCCCAGTTGGACACGTGGCACCAGCACATACGAAGAGGCGTCCAAGCCGAGTTTGTTGTTGTTCGCGGAAGCTCGACTTGGATTGCTGACAATTTGTTGTCCGTAGCTGACGGGAAAGGCGGTCAACTGAGGCAGGCGATACTTGACATTGGACTCGTGCAGCAGGGGAATCGCATTGGAGTACAGATAGTCGGGTACCTTGCGTCCATCCTTCTCTGGCTCTTGTTCGATAATCTGTGGCTCATGGAAATTGGGCTCGTTTTGGCTCTCCGGCTTGAGCTGTTCTCCGGGCGCGAAAAGCACAAGTTGTGCCACATTTTCATCTTGACCTTTGTCCGAATCAGCGCTGCGACCCAAAGCCTGCACGCGACGTAAACGCGCCTGACACAGACCCAGGCACAAGAATAAAACTGCAATTGGAATTGTTATAAGAAGGAAATCTTTTATCTAAACACTTTAAGCGGTTTCTCACCTAATATCTTAACGCTGACTGTCATCTCGGCTAACTGTTCTGGTTATGCTGTAGGTCTGTGTCTTTTATACTAAATGTTGTTCAATAGATAAAATCAATTGGTTCTTGGAAGCGCTCTCTTCTGACTTAGTTACAATTTTTGGCACACTTAAATCACAGTAATTTGTCTTTGATTTAAGGTTCAGTCAACTCTTTATTGGCCAATTATTGGCTGCCTAAGCAAGCGCTTCATGTGATAACTGGGTCAGCTGACATTTCCCAAACTGGTTCTGCTTGGCTTCGATAGAAGTTTATCTTGTTACTCGATCTGATCGGGATTAGTGAGTCACAGGTGTGGCGTGGTTAGAGAAATTTTGTTTCGCCTGCGTTAGATATTATATTAGTTAACTCTAAACTATATTTAAGTATCTGATATCTGCTAACATAGAACTTATCAGTTTGACATTCCATAACATTTCACTTCTTTACTCTATTCGCTTGATAACTGCTGTTAACTATAAAAATAGCTCAAGCTATAATTCGAATGGAATTTCGTAATATTCGGTTCAACTAATCGGGGCTCAACCCCTTTTTTTGAGCATTTTGGCATTTCCTACTTTAAAAAACATTCATTTTCATCAGGCAGACACTAGAAAAAATAAAAAAAAGTATTATATATAAATGTGTATATACCTTTATAGTTGAGCATAGTGTAAAAGCTAGTTGTGCAGCTGGGAATGAAAATGAAAGTTCAGCTAGGCTGACTGATATTTACATATGCAAAAAACACATATATACATATATATAAATGTATTGCTGTACATAAAACCTAGTTAGAAAAACAAAGAGTATGGGTTGCATTTAATTGAATTAAATCAAAAGCAATGTATTTGGGCAATTCAAGAGTTTGAATACGAACAATGGAACGCTGCATGGGGTTGCAGCCCCTTTGGCGAATGCTGTGGCATAATTGAAGACCCGCATTCAGGTTTTGTGGTCTACGAAAACGAATCGAACAAACAGTTGCAAACAGTTGAGCCAGTTGCGCCGTGGCGTGCGCGTCGCTTGGGCGCACGACTCTCTAGCTCTAGTTGATCGGAGTCCTACGGTTAACGGGATGCAGCTGCCGCTGCTGCTGCTGCAATCGCTGCTGCCGCTGCTTGCACTGCGGCCAGCGTTTGCCGAGGCCAGCGGCGGTGCTGGCGGTCAGCTGCGTCGCATCCGGCTGCAGGATCACTGCACGGCCGGCATTTGCACGGGCATCGATATAGGACGCAATGATTATGTGATCATCTCGCCGACAGCCATAACCATGCAATCGATGCTGACATTTATCAACTCGAGCATTGCCAAAATACCGCATCTGATGTTCGACACGTTTCCCGATCTGCAGCTGCTGCGCATGGAGAACTGCTCGCTGGATACGTTCGAGAAGCCGCAGTTCGAGGGCGCCAGCAACTTGATGAGCCTCTTCTTGGGCCACAATCGCCTGAAGGATATACCGAAGAATATTTTTCTGGGCGCTGATAATTTGGCAACGCTGCACTTGGATCATAATCTGATTAAGGCGCTGCACAATCACAGCTTTCATCCGCTCAAGGAATTGAAGGAGCTTTCGCTGGCTTACAACCAGCTGGACCAGCTGCCTCTGGGTGTGTTCGGTTTCCTGCGCAAATTGCTGGACTTGAATTTGGCTGGCAATCGGCTATCGGTACTGCCCCGCGGCATTTTCGATAAGAATTTAAATTTAACGCGTCTCAGTTTAGCGTACAATCGTTTCACGGTGTTTGAGTCGGAGCTGTTAAAGCTGCAGCCACGTCTCTCGCTCCTGGACATCTCGGGCAATATATTGAATGAGCTCACGCTGAACTTCTCGCTGCTGGAGCAGGTGCTGGCCCACAGCTGCGATTTGCGGCGCCTCACAGTGTACGGCATCATCCGGGACCTGGACCTGCACAACAATTCGCTGCGGGAGCTGCCACACATACCATTAGCCAGCAATGTGACCGGCTTGGATTTGTCGCTCAATCCATTGGGCAACTTGCAGGGCAATCCCTTGCGACGCTTTACAGCGCTGCTGCGTCTCAATTTGTCGACCACCAACACGCACGAGTTGGCCGAGGATCTGTTCAAGAAGCAGAGCCATTTGCAAGTGCTGGACATCTCGGGCAATAGCATCTACTCGCTGAAGATCACGATCTTCGACAGCTTGAAGGCTCTGCAGTATTTCTACTTTCAGCAGAACAATTGGAATTGCGACTTTCTGCAGCTGCTCATGAGTTCGTTTGTCAAGAAGCGAGATATTTCCTTTATGGAGGATATTACAGCACCCGAGTTGGTTGACGACTATGTCGATGGCATCGCCTGTTGGTATGAGAGCGACAAAACATCCAAAAAGTGCGACGGCAGCAACTCGGAGGCAGCATTGGAGCTATCCATAGTGCGGAACGAGATCAAGGCCTTCACAGAGCTAGTGGAGAAGAAGTTCGTGCGGGTCTATCGCATGCTGGAGGAAATGAAAGCCAAGCTATAAAACTCTCGAGCCGAAAAGCGAAGAAAAATCTAATTACTATCTATAAAATAATCAAGAAGACGCGCTTTTGTTCGCAGGCGTGCACACATATTTAATCAACCTGGATATGCTAGCTACTTTAATATCCTATATTTAATCGCATTTTAAGAAATTATAACAATTGACACAAGCAAGCCACTGACAAACATTTAAATATGTTCAAAACTAATAATAAAGCGCAGTACTCTTTGAGAGCCAAACAATTGGGTTTAAATTTCTTGTTCTACATGAACTTTAGGGATTCATAGAAATGTCATAGCAAAGTTGGATGTAGATGAAGAACTATTGCGAGTCTTTGACATGTGCTTGAGACTCATAATGCAAATCTGAGTGTTTTTTCTTTCTAATGATTTTTGCTTAATAATTTCCCATTAGTTACAACTTTTTAGGTTTTCTATAACTTTTAAATTTAAAGAGACCTCAGTCTATTTAATGAATGGTGGAATGGTACCTTCCTTGTCTTGCCTTTTAGTACTTTCAATATATATATATATTATTATTTATTATTGTACATATATTTATATATCATTTAAACTATATTTTTGTCTTGAGCTCGCAGTCGATTTGCTGCCTTTTCCTCTTTATCCTTTAAACCGGCTTTACTTAAAGAGCTAACTTCTCAAGGTCTGAAATTTTATATTATTATTTTATTACATTACATTACAAGAAAATGACTTAAATTGTTCAATTTCAGTGAACAATGTGTAAAATTAAATTTTGCCCTGCTTAAATAATTAGAAGTGATGGATTCGTGTTTTATTGGATTTGCAGATGAGCCAAGCTGAAGCATTTCGTATGCTGCCAAGCGTGGATGCTGTGTCACATATCACTTGCATTTAATGTCCTCTGTGAAAACCTATTAAGCATATTTCCACAGTTTTTCATGCATCAACCAAATGGCTTATCATGCTAAAAATACATGAGGCAAAATGATTAAAAAAAACATTCAAATATATATTTTGCAGACGCTCAATTGAATAAACAATAAATATTTTAAGAGCAACAACAAATACACTTTTGGCCATTATGACAGCTATCTGCGAAGCAGAGACAGGCATGCTATGCATGATATGCACATATATATATATAATGAGAGTCTGGATGGGACTTAAAACCGACAAAACTTAATTAAATGCAGTCACACAGCCACACAATACACAAAAGCAGCTTAAAAAATATATATAATAAAATAAACAAATATTAAAAACATTTTTATGAGCTGCCACCGAAAATGATATTGCAATAAAAAATATGTAAATATATAAATATTTTTGTTGTAGATTTAAACAAGCCTTAAACACTCATATATGTATATATAGATATATACCCGTTAGCTGTTGGTAATAAAGGTTTATTTTAACCTGCGGTCAAAGCATAAATCCACCTGACCAAACATTTGTTGCATATTTTAGGCATGATTTGACAGGAAATGAAATGAACATGTTTATAATGGAATTAGGAAAGGGTTCAATCAGCTATTGGGCTGCAGGGCGCTCGCCTGACAGCAGAGCAGGTAAAAAGCAAAAGTATTTAAGGCTTATTTAGATATATAGAAATCTGCTAAAACAAAAGTTTTTAAGGCTTATATAATTTGGATGAAATACCCTTAATCTTAACTCTAAAAATTTGATCTTTATATCAACAATTACTAACTTGCTCCCAAAGCTGCACTCTTGCCCCGCCGCTACCTTTGCACCTTCCCCTTTCCCCTCTCCAATTTTCTCTTACTATGCTCGACCTTTACGCCCTCAGTTGCAGTTTTAGCATTCAACTGGTTTGCTAGAGTTTCTTCAGCTGCACGCACCCTAGAGTAGGGAAGAGGCTTTAAAGTGTTTGCTATTAAGATGTTAGTGTTATTCGCTTGGCTCTCGCCCCTGACTTCGTGTCCGCTCGCTTGCTGAATATGAGATTTGTTGTACTAACTGTTGTAAGCAAGTTCCGTTTCCTTTATCCTCCGCTTTGTTGAACGACGCGTCGTGGCAACTGTGGCAGCTGCTGTTGCTGCTTACCCAGTTAGCAAAACGTAACTTTAACAACGTTAACGTGCTTACGTTACGCAACATATGCGCCGCAGCCACACCCACGCCGTGCTGTCAAGGCAACTTGTGTCTGTTTTTAACTAAATTCATTTTGGCAAGTTTATGAAAATTGTTGTTGCTATGATTGCTCTTGTTGCTATTGTTGTTGGTGTTGCTGTTGTTGTTGTCTGGGCTCATTAGGAAAACAAAAGCTACAAGAGAAAACTTTCAGCTTTTTTTGGTTACTTTTCTTGCCACTTGCTTGTTACATCCTATACCCTATAAAACGATCAAGACGGGGTATATGCTAACGAAGACAACTATATATAGATATTTTTATATTACATCTTAATGTGAATTACTTCTACCAAATTTTTATTGATTATATTTTGACTTAATACGTAATGTTTTTGGGTTCCATAGAAAGTAAAATACATTAACAGGGCATCTGTCGGTCATGCATAGTTTTGACAGACCATCATCCACTTGTTTTCATTGCCCTTGTTATAATTGAGTCGATTTTATTAACCGAATTTCCCAAGTACTCTCAGCCCCACTCCAGCTACCGGCTGCATCTAGAAGCCAGTTGCTCTTGGGTGTTTACATTTATTGAACTTTTACACTTTTGAATTATTAATTGTATTGTTTTACAAGTCGCTTGGCACTGCAACAGCTGTGTTTGGGCAACAACTCGCTCGCCCTCACACTTCCAGCTTCAACTAAATAAATTTCGCTTTAAATTTAGCAGGATCAGATTTCATGAAATGGATTTGGTAAGCTGCTTAAGTGTGAACAGATTCCATAAAGTTTTTATTACCCTGTCTGCTTGAGCTAAAACACCTGAAGTTCACCTGAGTGAGGTACAAGCCAAGTTAAGTGCAAGTCAATTATAGCAAGCGCTGATTGGATTTAAATTATAATCAAATTCATTTATGTCTCTAATTAGTTCCGAAACTTCTTCAATTTAAGGCAATTTATTTGTTTATTCACTACTTTTATTACTGCTCGTAATAATAGCATATTTGCTGCTTATGTAATGTAGTCTTCGAAAGCCTCTTAAGGATCTTCAAAAATAATGTTGCCATTGGATAAGCAATTGGAATGCTTAGCGTAAGTAGGTGTATAAATTGCAAACTATATGACACATTTTACATACACTTGTATACAATTATGTGCACATTAGCATATCATTCTCTCTCTCTCAGTTGCTGTCCCCCTCTCACTCTCGTTGCTTTACAATTAGATGCGCAATTAGGCATTCAAGCGCGTTAGACAAAAAAATGCTGCCTACTTTTTGGAGCGCATAAATAAAACTTAATGGCCACAAAAACAGCTGCTTAACTGCCCGACTGCGAATAATAAATGCGGACATTACGACGCAAGCTATGACTGCCAGATACCCTATAAATGAAATCATGAGCAAATGTTGCTTCAAAGTATTTTATAGAAATTTATTATTATTTTAGCGACCTTTTTGGGTTTGTTATCGAAATGCATTTAACAAGTAATACCATTTCCGATAACTATATAAATAAACAGCTGCTTAAGTTATCGACAACAGTCAGCTGTCATTACTGTATTAAATTTAAAAGAAACTAAACGCAAAATACTTAAATATTTCTGATTTTCTCCATTTCTATATTGATTACTCACTGTAAAAAAGATTCTGCTCTGATTCCATATATATATATATGTATACAATAATCAATTGCTAATTATGCCAAGCTAACGCATATACCACATAATAGTTCAGATTGCCTCAATTCTGTCTGTGATTTCGCATCATTCAAATTCATGATTGTCGCCCCCTTCGCCGTCTTCTTGGCCCTACCTCTTAATTGGGCAGACTTGAATAATATAATCGCATATGCGTACATACACGCGTTTATGTGGACATATATGCAGATGTGAATGGATGGTCTTGTAGTTATGCATTTGAATGCTTTAAACTGTTGCTAGTTGGGCGGGCAGACGAGGCGTATACGCAACATGCGTTTGCATAAATTCACGCTTAATTAGCAGCGCGTCACGCCCATTCATGTTTGGTGGGCGGCTAATTAGCCAATTGCCGGCAACTGGTTGAAATGTGTGTTAAATAATATATAGCACACCTATCTGTATGTGTGTGTGTGTGTGTGCGTGCGTGTGCGTGAGCGTGTGCGCAATATTACTTTTTCGGCAGCTAATTGCCTAAGGAGCTGTTAACTGAAAAGAAGCTGTGGAAAAAGTGTATTTAGCTGTTTTGCGCCAAATTTAATTTGGCCACGCGCCGCAGTTTGTTTTCCGCTGCCTTATTAACTGGCTTTTTGACGCAATTATGCTGCCACAACGTCGCCCACCTGCCAGCCACGCCCGCTGATAAAGCTTGCAATTCTACAGTGGAATGCGGCACGTGTCTTCAAGTCTGCTTTCAGGATTCAGCAGCCAGCTCTCGACCATTTGACTGCTGCTGCTGCTGCTGCACGCACGTTTCAACAGTTGCAGTTGGAGTCAGGCGCAAGTGTGTGCGCCTCACAAACTTTTAACAAAATTGTTTAGCTAAGTAGCAAAAGCTCATAAGCACGCAGCATAATGCACACACGAGTTGCGGTCGTAAGTTGCTGGCAAAATGCACTAAGCTCGTGTGCGTCCAAAAATTTTAAATACATCTTTACGAAAAAGTTTTAAAAATGGTTTTCGAGTTGAAATTCATTTTGGAACTATAAGCTTCTAAGCAAATTAGTTAAGTAAACAGTTAAAGCATTTACAAAAATTAAAAACATATTTCAGTTGTTTTCTAATATGAATTATTCTCAGCTTAATATGAGAAAAAAAAGCAAATAGAAAAAGTTAATTTTCATTACAAATTGTTACAAGGATTGTGTATAAGGATAGTTGACTGTTCGAAATTGGTATAGAAACTGTTAAAAGTGAGTTCCTTAAAGTAAAGCACACATTTGTAGAGCTTAGCAAATTGGCACCAAATAAATAAACTCAGATATTTTAAACAAGAGTTGCAGAAAAGAAACATTTCAATCTTATGCGAGTCGTGTCTTCATCAAAACTTATTTCCTGCTGTTATTATTCTGTTTCTGTTGGAATTGCCTTGTCCATGTTTTGCCTTTAAGCATAAAATAAAAGTACATTAAATTGCAAACAATGTTGAGTGGCAGACATTTGTCCGAGCAACAGACAAAT